TATATATATATATATATATATATATATATATATATATATATGTATATCTGTTGGTGTGTGAGGGGAAAAGATTCAGTTCTCTGTCCAATCATGGTTGAATTTCCAGAGCTAATTTGGATGCAGTCAGGCAGAGTGAACTGATGACTGACCAAACATTTTGCTAGCACCAAATAAAAAAGAGAGGGTGGGACTCATTAAAGAGCATCTGAAGAGCAGGTAGCTTCATGGACAACTGCAGCAATAAGACGATTGGCCATGCTTTTGTTTATGCTTTGTTGATGCAAAATTATATCATCCTGTGACTGAATGAAATGTCATTATTTACCAATAGTCATAATACCATTTTTCATCATGTCATGAATGAATGTAAAAAAAAAGATTCACACCTTTAAAATTGTGTTTGATGCTTTCAGCTTGATTTCGATAGTTTGACGAATAATGTAGTTTGTGATCCATGATTAGGCACAGTTGTTTATTGTGTGATCCCTGGTTTCTCATTTGACCTACAAAGGTCTGTTAGTGTGAACTCTTGACTTTTCAAAATCTATAAAGCCTAAGTTGTGCAGTGTGTCACCAACTTAAGCTGAACAATGTATGATAAAACCTTAAAAAAATCATAAAACCTAAATTGCAAAAGTTTTTAAAAATTTCAAATCTATTGAAATATTGGATCGATCATGTAAAATCCAATCTGTTTAAACACTGAATAATGTTTCTGCTATGGAATCTGGGTTATAGTCCTCTAAATAGAACTGGATTTGCTCAGTCATTTTGTCTAAATCTCTTTGCTGTCCACTGGGAAATGTTTTATTTTTTGCCTATTTTGTCTACTGATGATGTACTGCTACCAAAAGTCATAACTCACTATTCCTGACTGAGTCACACGTTTAACGTCAGTTTGTTTGGATTTTTTTAAAGCTACATGATACAGTAGAGAATGGAAAACTATGATGGATTGTAAACTGAAGAGAATGGTGAGGAGTGGAGAAAACAAGTACGCGCTCACCAGTCTCTGAAAGGAGCAGAGTATGAAGTTATCACGACACATTTAGAGGTGATCGCTTGTGTTTTTCTAATGTGTAGATGAACAGATGCTGAGATATATTCATCAATTAAAACGGATTCTTCATTTTTCTGGACTGAGTATAAACGTGCATTGAATTTAATGAAATGTGGACGTGAGACGTTATTTATCTTTGACCCATCAAAATGAATGTGGCCATTTATTTACAGAATCAAAGTTTAACATCAACATTTACATTAATTTGGCAAAATATGAAAATAACAACATAATTAATCAGCGAGCTGTACAATTATGATCAATTATCCACACGGCGGTGGATGAGCACTTTACACAGACATTTCTAAAAATATCTGTCAATGATTTCTACTTGATAGAAGAATTTTTAAAGATGGAAAGATGAAGTTTAGTGGGAGTGAAAGATGGATGAGGGAGAATGTGGTGTGTATGAGTGAAAAGTGTTGACAGGACGACACCCTCCATCCGACCCAGCTTTTCCTAGGTACGCTCAGTAGTGGTCTAGACTCATTTACCTCTCTGATGATGAATCAGAAGAAGAGGAGCTCCAGTTAACGCTACCTTTCAGCGTCTCCATAGGATGGCTGTGACTCGTCCGAAGTAGTGACGATATCCCGTCTGACACAAGTTCACCTCAGCCAGTGGACCTCACATGAGTGGGGTTCGTCCGAGTTCCACTCAGAGGTGAAGATGTTATAATCCCATAAAACTCGGAAGAGCTCTATCATGTCAGGGTTTTCCTGTTTCCCTGCCAGACTCCAACAGGACTTCACAGAACTCACAGAACTGAGAACTGGGCACATCACAGAACTGCCACTTCACCGAACATCTCCGAACTGCTACCACACAGAACTGGGAGAACTAGGAAGTACCGACATTTTAAAGGGCTCTATTCCCGGTTCATTTGGGAGTCCCTGATTGGTCAATGTCGACCAGACAGGGGTGTGGTTTGTGACGTAAGAGGTTACTAGAAGTCAGAAAACAGCAAGAATGTTATTGGAACAGATTGAAAATGTTCCCAGACAGGAGAGAGAAATGTTTGGTCGAGTTTGGAGAAACAGGTGCCAACTCCTCTGTTTACGTCTGAGAGGATTTAAAACAAGACAGTTGTTCCAACACATGTCTGCTTCGACTCCTGACCTTGGAAAACGTACACTGCTCATTCAAAGACAGAAATCAGAAAATGCATAATTACTCTGTAACAGGCCTTAACATGAATTCTACTTTGCATAAGCAACTAAAAAATCATTGTTACTGTTTTACAGTTAATAAAATTGATTAGTTCACTGTAACATCTAAAATGTTTGAACTAAAACACTTTGATTATCAAACATTTGTAAAACAGGAATGATAATAGAAAAGAGAGTGTTCTTTCACTTGAATTTTCAAGCAAGAAAGTCTCGGGATGGGTGAACCTGTATTTCTGGATTCAAATCAATGAAATGACAGTTTCTGTCCCACAAGGTTCTTAAGGTCAAGGGTTTTGACCTTAGGCTTAGTTTTGACATCAGGTCAAGTTCACTACAAATGTGTCGCACTTTTTAAGGTAGTCAGCATTTTTAGCATGTGCTACATTTATCATCCATTTTGTGCGACAGCTGCAAATAAACCATATGGTAACTGCGACACTCCATGGTTAATTTACATACCATTAATAATAAATGAATTATTTTCTGTTTGTTTTTGATTGACATGTAGATGGTTCAGTGAGCGTGGTTTGTGCTGCATGTCAGTAACTGTCAGACAAGTGTAAGCACGCAGCAATATTAGCCTGATGGTGTTGGCTGTCCCAGTGGACTAGAAGCCCTGTTTTTTCTATTAGTTCTCATCTGTTCCTCATTAGAGCTGTCCGATATCCACCACACAAATACACCCGCCCCATCGAGCTCATGTATGGATGGAGGCAAATTTGCACTCACACCCACGCAACCCCCACATAATCAGTTTTGTTTTGCTTCCATTTTTTTTATTAGCCTTCGCACAACATTTTCTTTCTTCCTGTTAACAAGATTTATCCCATAGGAGCCATAGCAACAAAGAGGAAAACTATAATTACTGTGTAATCTTATGGTGGTTTAACCTTTTTTTTCTATTTATCTGCTTATCACAGCAGGCAGCAAGAGTGGTGCCCATCACAAATACACAAACATGCCAGTATGCTGTAAATTTATTTGAAGTATAACTCAGGCTTTAAGTGTCAAACTGTAAACTTTTCTTCTTCCACTTTTCTTTTCATTATGTTTTGTTTAAAGCAGTGCAGGAATCATTTTGTAGTCAACAATGTTCTCCTCCACTGGATCTGTCACTGTTACTCAGGCCCGTCTGACAGGAGTTTTGTTCGTTTTGGTCTGATTTCAGACACTAAGCCTAACTAATGCCTGTCAGGACTGTGATTTCACTGAGCTGAAGTTCAACTCACACAGAGTCACATATTAAACATGGTGCCTCTTCAACACATGGGTTCATTGTTGATGTAAACTCATCACCTTACATCTTCAAAACACTTATTTTATATGGAGGCAGGGAATGTGTATGCCAGGTTTGTAGCTCTTTTGGAAAGAATTTCCTTTTTATTTTTATATTATTTTTATTATATGCTTGTCAAAAGACAACCCTATTGTGGTATAGTCTTTGTCCGTATGTACGTTGGTACATCAGTAAATTTTATTTTTTTCGGGCCATAACTTCTTGAAAGTTGCAAATGCATCACTACTATATGGAGTGCCGTGTACACTTTTCATCACCCTGGCTCTGACGTCACAAATCAAAGTACCGGTAGTTTGTTGGTGGGCGTATAATGTGCCTTATGCAGTACTTTTTAATTTATTTATTTTGTGATAGCTGACCTCTCTCCCTTTCCTCCCTGCTCCTCCTTTTGTACCACCTATTGTGCCCTCCAGACTTTAACTATAACACAGATGGCTACGAGGGAGAAGCAGCAGAAGATGGCAAGTCCCAGGACGGCTCTGAGACGTTGCCCTATATAGATGAATCTCCCACCATGTCGCCCCAGCTGTGTGCTTCTCAGGGGGCGGATAGACTCTACCCCACACCAATAGAAGGTCTTCTGCTTGGGGTAAGAACACACACACAGAGATATATTAAATAATGTTAGTTCTCCTTTTTATCTTACATGGCTGTCAAATAAAATGATGTATGAGAGAAGCTTTACAAGTATCAAAAATTACCTACCTGATGTCTGTGATTTTATACGTTTGAATATATTGTATTGTCTACATTAATACATCAGAAGCTAATGAGAAATATGCCAATAATGATTTATTAATATGTTATTCCAGGACTATTTGGGTGAGTGCTGCAAAGTCCAATATTTATCTCACTAAAACAGTTCCTGTTTTTATGTAAAAACATTTGTACCTATCCAGCATCCCATTAGCCTAGTTTTACTTCCAACATCATTGAAACACAATCTGAGAAATCATGAACCAGTGCGACCAGCAACTCCTTTCACACGTTGTTGGTTTCAGTCTTTCAGCAAGACTTCTTAATTCATCAAAAACTTACAGGAAAAATTAGAATAATCAGAGGTGGTTTTCTGACTGGGCAGCACGGTGGCACAACTGGTAGAGCTGCTGCCTCTCAGCGAGCAGGTCCTTGGTTCAAACCCCGGTCCAGGGGCCTTTACTGGGTGGAGTTTGCATGTTCTCTCCGTGCATGCGTGGGTTTTCTCCGGGTGCTCCGGTTTCCTCCCACAGACCAAAAACATGCATGTTAGGCTGATTGGTAACTCTAAATTATCCCTAGGTGTGAGTGAGAGAGTGAATGGTTGTTTGTCTCAAGTGTCCCTGTGATGGACTTGCGACCTGTCCAGGGTGTACCCCGCCCCTCGCACAGTGATTGCTGAACATGGGCACCGGCGACCCCCGTGACCCAAAATGGAATAAGCGGGTAAAGATAATGGATGGATGGATGGATGGATGGTTTTCTGACCTTTAAAACTTTTCAAAGTTTGCAAAGTCATTTGGTCATGACTGTTGAGAAGCAACACACTAATTCTCCCTCCCTTGATGAACCTCCCTCTCAAAATATCCAGAGTCTATATATCAAATATCAAAGTTTAACTTTCAGCTTCAAAGTAGTAGTAGTAGTAGTATTGGTAGTAGTACAGTATTATTAACAGGAGCCTGTCTTTGGTCTGCTCAGACAGCAAACATTTCTTAAATCTTTTTTCATTAGTTTTTGTTCAACGTCCAGATGATTATGTTTGTCGTTGTTGTAGTCTTAAGGTTTGGACGGTATGACGATGAACATAGTGTCTGCCACCCACCTGATTTAGACTTTGCTTTCATTTATTTTCATATGCAGCTTAGATTTCACTCTGTCCCACAACCTGTGGCTATATATGGGGTAGGGGGAGCTGCTCTGGGGCCAGACAAAGCATTCAACTGGATGTTCTTGTGCCTTCTGGTATTTGTAGTTTTATTGCTTTTTGTTAATTGTTAGATAGAAAAGAAGTAGAGGAAAATATTATTTAAAGCACTCTATCTCAAAACAAAATTGATGAGTTCAGATGAAAGTGAATTTGTTGAAAGGCAGACGTATTGGGATATAGCCTCAGTATCAGAAACGTGACCTAGGTGACCCATTACCTGTTTTTTCATTCAACCTTTATTTATACAAGTTAATTCCATTGAGCCTCAGGGACTCCTTTACAAGAGAGACCTGTCATGCTCCTGTCAAAAAACAATATGATGATCCTTCATTATTTCATTATCTAAAAAGTGGTACATTGGATCTGTTTTTTTCATGACAACTGTGTCCTTTAAAACCTAAATCTGTGGAATAGCTTTTTCTAAAAATGTCTAAGTTCTGATTCCTTGTTGCTCCTGTTGAGACAGTTTTCTCCTCTTTGTTTTTTTTCTGTAGCAGCTTGACTTCATGACCTCAGATCATTTCACTCCAGTTCTTGTAGCCAACAGATCTGGACCCTCTGTAATTGTTAGCGTTTAGCTCCAGTAGCTGGAGTGCCTTTGGTGCTCTGCAGGTGGTTCATTGACCGCAGCAGGAAATGACCTCTGAACCAGATGGGCTCTGATTCCACCAGCATCAATCTGCCAGTGTGAGTCTAACCAGAGTACATGTCTAGGATTTGTTCTCTGGGACCCATTACAACCCATCGTTCACCATCTGTCCCACGAAAAGAGGATGTTCTCTTATTTTACATCTTCAGTTGGTCTTGAGAAAGTGACGGGGTGTATTTTCTCCCAGTGCTGTGTGAAGAGGTGGAGTATAGTTCTGCCTTTGAGGAGATTTAGTTTTCTGGACACATCTATGTGCCCCTCTGAGTGCCTAAGGGTCCCGTTAGCTCGGCACGGTTTCATTCATGTACTTGGAGGTGAACAGTGTAATTTTCACACTTAAGGCCATATTTATGTTTGGAGTGTTGATGGGACTGGGTGCTCTGGGACCTCACACACACCCACCTCAGGACACTAATAAAGTGAAACTCTAACTGTACCATGACAGTAAGCATTTCTGGTTAACTAATGCCTTTAAAACTTAAGAGGAATGATTGTTTTCACTTCCAAACTTATCAGAAACTTTTTTTTTTTTTGCATTCTGAGTTTCTTAAATATTCATCTGTATTTAAGATTTAAATCTGCCTTTTGTCCATCTGTTACTGTATAATCATTAAGTTATGAATACACCCAGGCAGGCCTTGATCATTGATTTGCTTTTTATAGCAGTAATTTATGAATTATTAAGCATTTAGTTTCAAGTTGTTGTTTGTTTTTTTTTTAGCAGGTCTATGAGCCACAGTCAGGTTTTATAAATAATAATGTGTCTCCATCTGGTGGCAGGTTAAGGCAAAAACTGGAAACATGTTCAAATGTTAATGAAAATCATTGAAACTGGCAAATCATGTGAAAAGAACAGTTCAGGGATGAGTTAATAATGTATTAATGCACAACATTCACAAGTGCAGAACAACAGCCTGTATATTTTGTTTTCAATTTCTTAAAAATGTAAATAAATAGCCATCATTAGCAATAAAAACACTAAAACAATGAAAGGAATGTGATTAAGATGCATGTTTTCCGTTGTGTTAGGAAGCTGAAAATTAATCATTTTGAATACAATCAACAATTTATTTTTTATTTTAATTATTTTAAATAAAAACACACCCATTACTTTACATATAGTTTTCTATTGTTAAATTTATTTAAAAAAACAATATATTTTTTTGCTCAGAATAAAAATATTGTGTTACTTATCAATGAATAAGTTTCATTAGAGTGTGAGCTGAAAAACAATTTATTTAAACAAGTATTAATTCAGGGAAACAACTGAGGAGATGTCTTCCTGATGTTTCTGCTCGCCAGCCTCTTGTGTCCTCGTGCTCTTGTTGAGGTCGACCTCTGTTTCTGCTGAGCTTGCAGCCTTCCACAAACACAGACGCCTTCATGTCGAAATTCTTCTGTTCAGCATAAAAACGAAAACACAGGCGCCAAAAACAAACCTGAATCTTATCAGTTTTATTACTGATGAACATGGAAGTGCAAAAACGTTTTGTGAGTGCATGTGTGTTTGCCTACTTTGTTAGCAAATAATGTCATGTACCTCTAGACAGATTTCAATCAAGCTATAAATAATTAACACAAATTTTGTTATAACTCTTGACAAATATTGAGCTAAGATTATATGTGGTAGTAGTTGAGAGTCATCCTTAACACATACTCCAAATGCTAATGGATTGTGCGAGGTATAAATCTTTGACATTACCTGATGGAATCAAGTTTGTATATCTGTCAGCAAAATATTTCCTGAACCACTGGACAGATTTTAGTGACACTTCTAGAAAATAAGCATTGGATGTATATCTACAACTGATCAACATTTGAAGTTGTGTCCATTCAATATGGCCGCCACAGTTAATTGATGTTAGCCAGCACAAAAAGAGCTTTAACTCTGTCAGCTGTACAGATACTGTGATAAATATGTGTCTGACTGTAACTGAGAGTAATTCCTAACATACTCTGAGTACTTTCTACTGTATATTATCTCAGCTTAAAACTTTAGCATGACTTATCCTGATGCATGCTCAATAATCCAGGTAAAAAAATCTAAAAAAGTTAAATCTGGTTCTCTGGACATTAAAAAAAAACCCAAAACAAAGCAAAACAACAAAAAATGTAGAAACGTTTCGTCTCTCGTCCGAGAGACTTCTTCAGTCTGAGGTGCTGTTTTCAGCTCTGTCTCTTAAATAGCACCTTCTCAGAGTGGATCAACCAGTTTTGCTGCTGACAACCAAAACCAGCT